TAGTTCATTTTAAGTGCATATTCCCATTTATTTCTGGCAGATGATTACGTGTACCATATGAAGCGCCATTAACTGAATTAATTTATGAGACAAATAAGCTCGAATATCAGATTTCAAGCGAACATAGTGACATTTTCATTATATTGTGGGAACAAATTCCATAAAGATCGTATAGGTCCTCGGTTACAAACCATAATGGATTTCGTTTACTTGAAGCTTCTGCCAGATCGATGTCACGTGGGATATAAAACTGTGTTGTTTACCAGACGTTTCATTCGTAATATGTCTCTTGGATGTGACAGATATGTTGCTACAGAGTTACACATGATTGATTCTCAAAGTTCGTGTAGGCTGCATTGATTTTATTTACTTGCTCAAGTGCACCAGTGCTAACTGGCAGTGACATAGCTTTAAAGATTTTCTATAGCCTACATTTATAGAGATTTTCAACGCGACAAAACTGGAAAACAACTCGACAAAATAAAACGAAATATTGTGTTAACGTTGTGTGCTTAATTCGTATCCTATAATTTTCCAGTAGCCTAGCTACACATTAGATTGTGGATCTTTTACCAATGGCTAAGATTGTTATTTACTTCCAGCACGTGTAAAGAAAACAAAAAACAGACTAAAAACGCTTAAAATGGCACACTAAATGTTATGCATTGCAAGTTCTATAAAAGTTACATATACCAACCTAGACCGTAAACAAGACCAATTAAATTATTTAATTGTGCTCTGCGTATTTAACGAGTTATTAAAATGTTTTAAAGGTGCAAAGTCAATCTGTTACAGCAACCAAGATGTTTAGCTCGTTGTAATAATTGTCTGAATTAAATAAACCGTTTGCTATAACGAAAGACCAAAGTCAAATCGAATCTGAGTCAATCTAAAGTCAATAGGGTATCTTAGAAAACAAATCGTTTTGATGAATGAATGAATGCAGTGGAACTCAGATTGTTCATAATGGGGCCGTTTTCAGTAGCTAGCCTAATAACAAGTTAGTGGTTTAGATAACGCCATCATATCGCACAATAAATGGCATGCCTAATTCTTTAAAGTAGGCTACGAAAGCATAAAGACCAATAAGAAGCAGCTTTCATCTGTTCAACATCTACCCCTCATGACTTCCTCTGAATAACTTCCTTTTAAACAGAACTTAGGCTGTTGCTTAAATTCGCGGTTTCCTCGGTTTCTTTCCCATTGCGCTGACTTTTGTTGTCATGTTCAACTTTTGTGTTACTCTGCATGGTCTCGCTGCTGTAGTTGGTTACTTTGGTTAGTTTTTTCTTCTGATGAACTTTCACCGGCCCTCTCCTGAAATTCAAATGTTGTGCTATTGTCGTGAAAGAAAACTTAAATTCGCGGTTTCCTCGGTTTCTTTCCCATTGCGCTGACTTTTGTTGTCATGTTCAACTTTTGTGTTACTCTGCATGGTCTCGCTGCTGTAGTTGGTTACTTTGGTTAGTTTTTTCTTCTGATGAACTTTCACCGGCCCTCTCCTGAAATTCAAATGTTGTGCTATTGTCGTGAAAGAAACCCTGCACAAGCGAGTCACTATTCATAATGTGACAAAACCAAAGACAAAGACGCTCCACTACATTTATGGTGTATGTAGGCAAAAAATATCATTCAGAATAAATGTAGTGATATGTGGATATGAAGAGAAACGAATTTATAACGCCAATTCTAATGAATACTCGAAAGGATAAAGGGTCCATGTTTTCTGATAAGCGAAACTTGTAAATAAAACGAGTTTCTATTTTCAAAGATAGTTTTAGAACTAATAATCTTTTAACATTTACCAGGTGATCCCTAGCCTATAATAAATAGGCTAAATAAAGTACATTTATGGCTGTTCCTTCGAAGAAGAGCTACATTTCTTCACGGATTTGCTATAGGCTATCACAGTTTACTACAAATCTCTCCCTGTGTTCAGTTATGTGCACTTTCAAGATTCATGTTTGAGATCAATTTGCTTCAACTACAACTATTTGTTTCACATACCAGAACAGGGTTGACCCAGGAGGGCACAGAAAAAAAAAGAAAAACAAAAAGTATGTTAAAGGTGTAATCTCTGTGACATAAATGGCATACCCTTTTCTGTGGTGCTTATCAATGTTTGTTAGTAATTTTGTGGTCACTGTTGTTTTTAAGAGTAAAGTGTTTAGTTAGGGGATGTTACATTAAGATGTTTTAGCTATAGTTTTAGCTGAACATTTCCACCAAGACCATTTTAATCAAATAGATTGTCAATGATCTTACACTCTCAGAAAAAAAAGTTACAAAGCTGTGACTGTACAAAAGCTAAAAAGTACATCTTTGTACCTTATTTACCCCTTAAGATACATATGAGTACTTTTAAAGTACATATTAGTACCTAAAGTGTACACTAGGCACATTGTACTTATTTTTGTAATGGTATGGTATTTACATACCTATTCTATAAGGTTTACACAGAGAAACGGCCTCTATAAGCACATCTAACAATTAAAAAATCATCAACAGTTCAGAACATTGGCAATTCCAGTCTTTCACACTGATTAACAGTTTTCTTTATTATAATACAGTTGGCTCAAGGTCTGTGGTGACAAACGCTACACACTACCGCCCTCTAATGACAGCTCCACAATGTGTTAGCAGTGTCCCTACAACAAGCATTATACACACAGGGATTGTATTCCATTATTAAAAGAGCTCATTTCAGATGGTTCAATTGTGTCAGATCAGAGTGTATTCACACCAGGAAAGCCCGCTAGCTCACTTGCTTTGGTCCGGACCAAATACAATGTTTATTTTTGTTTGTTTGGTGCGGTTCGCTTTCACACTGCCCGTTTTGGAAGTGAACCAGAAACTGTAAACAAAACCACACTTGTGCTTAAGGGTCATCCATTCATTGGTTCATCCATTCAACCGTACCAGAGTTCGTTTGGAAGCGGACCGAGACCACCTCTTCAGCTGGGTCTCGGTACGGTTGTTTGGTCTGCACCCGAGTGCGATTGCTGTGTTCACACCTGCCAAAAAGATCCGCACCAAGGGGGGAAACGAACTTGAGTTCGATTCAATCGAACCAAACAAGACAGGTGTGAATACACAAAATAACACAAGGAATATTTGTGTGCCCAAAAATGTATTTAAAAATATATTTTGTTGATCTAATGTGCACAAAACAGTTGCACTCAAGATATTTAAATTAAAGTCCAAAGTGTCCAAATCAGTCAAAGTCCAAAATGTTTTAGAAATAAATTAACTCCATTATCAAAAAAAAAAATGGTTTATGTTTTTTTTGACAAACCCTGTATAAAATTATATTAAAAGTGCGTAACTTATAACCCGTTTTATTAAGCATCTTTACAGAATTCATAAATGTTTCAAGTTTGGCACTTTTGTAGGTTAAGATGATGCCACGGAGCCAAATGTGTTACTTTCTAAATGTAATCATTAACATCGAATATAAAAATTCTGGAAATAATATACACATGCAAAAACATATATATAAACTATGGACTTAGCTTATAGAAATACATAAAATCAACATGTGAACTTCAAAAATACGCTATTTTAATAATGCTTAAAATAGTAAGTTGAGGAAACAAATGAAATCAAAGAGAGGCACAAGTAATCAGAATCAGATTTATATATATTTTCTTATTACAGTTGCAACTGATAGATACATTAATTATTTACATAATTCATTCTCATTTTGCTAACAAGGGAAAAAGCATTAGTACATCACAAAGTCAAACTCATAGTCAGGGAACTGTTTCCTGTTGCAGGGCGTTCTAGAAGAGAAACATAAGACTCGAGTCAAATTGTTCATTCAAAAAAAAAAATAATCAAGCAACCTAACAGTGTTGTCTTATCAAAATATAATGTCCTAGACCAGAATATATTCGCTCGCACTTAAAGAGAAATCAACTGCATCAGAATGCTAGCACATGCAAAACCTCGGAACTGTACTCGGGGCCCATCGGAGAATGCGTTAAAAGAGTTGCTTTGTGGTTCACTTAATAGAAGACTATATGTAATCTGCTTGTTCGTGAATAAAATGCATTATAATTGTACATGTATACAAAATACTAAAGGCTGCCAGTCTGGTTGTGTTTAGCATGATGTGGAAAACTATATGCCTGCTATTTAAAGGGATGGATTGCAATAGATTTTTGCAAAATATTTAGGAGCATAGATAGTCATGAACCACGGTGTCAAGTAATGATTGAATATTATCCCATTCCTCTTTCCCCAATCTGTACGAGGCAGCTTCATCCTGTTGCATACGAGGACACCAGTGGCCACAGTATCCCCGGTAAAGAGAACGACATTTGTAGCAGTATCGAGGAACACTTGGGAGTGGAACTGCCGTCTAAGCATTACGAGTAAAATAACCAAGAAAAGTGAGAAAAGGTAAGTTTCTAGCTTGTTGAAAAGTCAAGGTTATTCCCAGAACAATAACAGAACAGATGTCTCATTTGACACTCAACAGCTTCACAATTAGAGACAGACTGAAGTTCACTAAACGAAACTGTAACTGACACTCAAAAGGCAACCGTTCCCAAAAGGGCTCGGCAGGCTGCTGATATGTGCACCAGTTCCAATAGCATTTTAAGAACATTAAACATTAAAATAAAACTTCTCTATGAACAATTATATATAGTGTGGCATTATATAGTGTGGCATTCAGTTCATTATGAATCTGTATCTCAATTTGTGTTTTAACAGATCTCAGGAGTGAAATCAAATGTTTTAGAAACTAAGTGTGAAATGTGTGTATTTGCAGACATGTGTGTGGTTGTTTTAAGAGTGATTTTATTATCATCATTAATTATTTGACTTCGTATGACTTGTTTTTTTTCTGTTAGCTCTACACTGGATGCAGGAAGGGACAGAGAAACATGGACTCAAAAAGCTGAGGCTGTGAAGCCGGCGTATACATATTTGTCACTTAGAAGTGTACACACGCACACATACATCTATACACCTCATTCCCCCTCCGGACTGAACCTCTTCTCCATGAGGGGCAAAAAAACAAAAAACAAACAGAAAAACTAAAGGCAGTCATTGGCCAGCACACAAGGAGCAAGAGGAAAAATATGAACCAATCGGATGAGACAGACACTTGGTCCTCTGTCAGTAGAATCGCCAGGTTTTTCAGCACTCTTTACATCTGTGCTCCCTTGAGAGGAGTCCGGAGCTGCAGGTAAAGGGGAATGGTCTAACCTTGCTCGCTTCGCACCCCAATAGAGGGCACTCTAAGGCTGTGAGCTGCCCTGACTGTCCGGATCGGTGCCGGATGAGCTGGTGTCGGAGTCAGAGTCACCATCGTTGTCCTCTGGCGGGCACTTTTCCCGCAATCGCCTCTGGATGGCTCTGAGACGGGTCAACAGACCCTGGTAGTCAAAACGACCTCTTTTCTCTCCAAAAGGATCCTGCAAGAAAATAGAACAAAATATATTAATTTGATGGAGAACAAAAAAAAGGAAGGAACAGGGCATTTAGGATATTTAACCAAACTGAGATGCCAAGTACCAAAACAGATTAAAAAAAAAAAATTTTTGGCTCAGAGAAAACTAATCATTTGTTATATACTGTAATAATAATATATACACCCCCATTCAAAAGTTTGGGGTCAGTATTTTATTTCCTTTGAAAGAAACAAATACTTTAATTCAGCAAGAATGCTGGAAATAAACTTTTCACATTTACAATGTTATAACAGCTTTCTATTTTCTTTTGAATTTTTTTATTCAAAGAATCCTTAAAAAATTTATCCGTTTTCACAGAGACTAAGAGCACAACTGTTTTCAACATGAAGAAGAAGAAGAAGAAGAAGGCTTTTTGGTGTTGTATTTTGAAAAAAAAAAAAAATCAGTGGGTGTACCACACATATATATTTATATATATATATATATATATATATAGAAAACTGTTGTTTTAAATTGTAATAATATTACGGTTTTTACTGTATTTTTTTGCAGTCTGGATGAGCATATGAAACTTCTTTTAAAAAGCATAATGCCTGGTTCATAGTACATGATTTTAGCCCTATTTACCCACGATTTACTTGACGTAGGGTGTCTTTGGGATTCGTAAACGACAATAGTCGCTAGTTCCGCCTTCTCGATGACATCACGTGCGTTGTTAAAGATGGCCCGCGATGAATGGTCGGGAAGCAACGTGTAGTCTGACATGTTTCTTGTCCATGACACGACAAGATTTTAGGAGTCAAAATAGTGTAATCTGACACAGTGACTGACAAAAATATTGTGTAGTCTGAACCCGGCATAAGATAATTTGTTAAAACCCTCTCAATGAAATGTAAACACGTTACAACCACTGATCTATAATAGATCATTTATACAGATCAGTGGTTACAATACAATATCATAACACTATAGAAAAGGGAAGAACAAATCACACAAAGACAATAAAATTCAATCACCATCTGAACAACAGATTCACTTAACTATGTGCGACACGACTACAAAATGTCTGAAAACTGATTCATAGCGTGACTTGAGGACAATAAGAACTCTGGAAATCCCACAGAAATGGCTGCTGGCGAATAGAAGCTGTGCGGAGTGATTCAGCTCAGCTCTTCACTCGAAGGTGTGGTAGTACGTCAGATTCTTTGTTCCTGCTGCTCTTCTGTAAATGCTGACTCGAATGACTCGGCTCAGCGAATAGGAATGTTTGTAATCTCACAATGCTCAACGCTTGCATAAGGTTATACTTCTAATGTTTACGATGACAATCAAAATGACAAATAATAAGGCGCGATGTGAAATGTGGCAAAGCACATTTGCAAACAGTCATTACCTGCATGTTCTGTCCTTGGAGATGCAGACGTTCTTTGCAGACCCCCTCATAGAAATCATAGTACTCCAGGAAGGATTTCTCCATCACGCTCCTAGTATGGAAAAACAATGCTCTTATGAGGGTGTTCAATAAAGAATAATAAGCAATGAACTTTTTTACAGAAACACAGACACCCAAAATTAAAGTTTTAATCTAGCCGAAAACACAACTGAAAATAAACTATTTAAACATCAATAAACTGAGAAAAATGTATGTAATAATAAACACAAATAAAAAAGTTGTACAAACATTTAAACTGTACATAAAGGGAGTTTTTATGTCAAATTCTTAATACCAGAATTATGTTTCTACTCCAACTTGTTGAAATATAAGCATGCTAATGGTGGCTGTAATGAAAACTTGTTTTCATGACAGATTTATTCAAACATACATTAACTAATGAAGACAACAGGTTAATGAATATGTATTTTAAGTATATTTATTTATCAAAATGCTCAGTTTAGCTGACTAAACGGTTTATGGACATTGAATGTCTTTCCTGAGATAAATGACAAGACGGTTGACCCTGAGTGGTCAGCTAAATATCTACAGTGGATCTAAAATATTAATAATTAATCATAATTAGTTATGGTTAATTATTCATATTTCCCCATGAGCTGATTCGCTACACATTGTAAACAGTTTTACTGACATTTTTTGCTGTTGAAACACTCATTGAATGATTTCAGTAAATTTCAGTTTCCTTCAACATACCATCTGATGTTCATTAATGTTTATTTTGTGGTAGTAAAGCAGAAGAGATGATCCATTCATGTGCCACTTAAATCTGTTACTTTGCATTAAAAAGCGGCAGTTTTCTTTTTGTATTTTATGAGAAAATTAAAAGAATTTGAAAGCTATTCATTAAAAATTAGATATCAATATTGTTAATCCAGCACTAGCACAAAATAGACACTGACACAGTCAAAAGTGTGTCAAAACGCAGAAACTGAAAATGGCAGTTTCGGACGAAAACGATTGGTTGCTAAATTTTGGTGCATCACTAATGGTAATGCTTGTGTGTGGACTACAAGCGCTTTAAAAATAACCCTGATTATGCTAAATGTTCAAGGGATAATGACTCACCACAAGGCCTCAGGACACGGCACTTTGCCCTCTAGCATATCACACACTGAAACTCGCATGGTCTCGTGGCGGATACACTCGTTATAGTTTTTGCTGTCACCTGGATGCCTTTCCTAGCAAACAGATGACAGTGCAGAATAAACGATAGCATTCACTGTGGATAGCAATCACAGATTACAGGAGGACCACATCAAGGCTTTAGATACCAAGAATGCATTGTGGGAGCTGTAGTACCTGCTCAAAGCCTGGCTCATTGTGGTAAGGGTTCTCTGTCATTAGGGACTGTATGGAGATGAGAACGGAGGAGATGCTCTGGGCGGGACTCCACGCTGGACCAGTCCAAGTGCTGTGGAAAGAAACAGCCATCTAAATCAGGATCACAACAAGGACCATAAAGCTAACTATAACGATAACTACGTTAACTATATTATCATCATTCATTCGCAGAAAAATAACCAAACTCTGAAACTGATTTCTACAATATTGATCATGTCTCGTTATCATTATGGATGTGAACTTATCTATTCTCACAGAATTAGAATGAATATTAAAGCATGTTGTCCTTGGTGTAAACAGGCCTCAATTTTGGAACTAAAAGTGGTCAAGTAAAACACATGTGGGAATCTAATCACAAAACTAAATCATTCTTACCCAAGGATGCTGAGGCAAACTTTGCCGTTGCGATAGAAGTTGGGGTTGAATCGAACTGTGTTGTGCCCGGTAGTGATCAGTTTGACACGTGGAGGGTGAATGGGATAGTCGGGAGGACAGCGGAACAGGAAGAGGAAGAAGCCGCCCTCATATGGTGTGTCGAAGGGGCCAGTGATGAGGGCGTGAATCTGTGGAGACACGAGAAGGAAGACGATTTATTCCAAACCACTACAGGGAGAATAACCAGAGACATCCATTCACTGCACCAATTTCAATGACTTATTACAACATTTTCCAATACTTTCAGCATTTGTTCATTTAGGTTAATGTTAATTTTTATACCATTATTTACCATTGTTCATTGTTAATTCATGTTTGTACATAAAATGTTAAAAACATTAATAAAAAATGCAAAAAAAAAAAAAAAAAAACTTATTACACTACCGTTTATAACAGCGGTGTCAAACTCATTTCCTAGAGGGCCACAGGCCTGCAGACCCTGCGTTCCATTCGGAAGGGCTCATCCCTATGCCCTAATCCCTTCAAAGGGTTTACCCTCCGGAGTGAGAGCTTTGAAGGGTTGAAGGGTGTAGGGGACCAAACAACTGTTTCTTGAAGTGCCCTTCTGCGTCATCATCACGTGCCCACACGGAGGCGCCGTCATCATTCAAAGAATCTGCGCAAAGGATCATGGGAGCCCGAAGTGTCCATCAGTAGTACCCTTCGAAATCCTTCGTTCCGAAGGGCCCTTTGAAGTGGCCAGTTTTGAGCACTTCGGTTTGGAACGACCCTTCAATATGGCGGCCATGATTGTTTTCACTCCGAAGTGCCCTTCAGAGTGCGATATATCCCGTTTGGAATGCATTGAGAGTTTAGCGCCAACCCTAATTAAACACACCTGATACAGCTAATCATGCCCTTTAGGCTTATTTGAAAACTACATGGTTTGTGTTGGAGCTAAAGTCTGGAGCTGAGTTTGACACCCCTGGTTTATAAGTTTGGGGTCAGTTCAATATTTTAACGTTTTTAAAAGAAGTCTCTTATGCTTACCAAGGTTGCATTTATTTGATCAAACACACAGTAAAAAAATTCTACGATTTTACAGTTCAAGAATAACAGTTTAACAAATACTGTGAAATTATCCCTGTGATGGCAAAACTGAATTTTCATCAGCCATTACCCCAGTTTTCAGTGTCACATGATCCTTCAGAAATCATTGTAAATGCTAACTTGGTGTTCAAGAAATGCAACTTTTTTTCAGAATCTCTTTGATGAATTGAAAATTCAAGAGAAACGCATTTGTTTGAAACATATGATTTTTTGTGACAATGTAAGTCTTCACTGTCACTTTTGATCAATTTAACGCATCCAAGCCGAATAAAAGTATTCATTTCTTTCAAAAGAATAAAATAAAAATCATACTGACCCTGAACTTTAGTAGTGCCCATGTTGTAATTAACATTAATCTTGAATGAAAAATGCTGTAAAAGTATTGTCCATGAATCCTAATACTTTAACTGTACACATGCAATTAATGCCTTTATTGTTTAGTAAGAATATAACAATAGAAGGAAGGATTGAGGGAGCAGAGAACGGAAATATCACCATAATTGTGAAGGAGAAGTGTGCGGATGCTTACCTTGGTCATGTCATGAGGATCAGGAACCACAAACATACCTGGAGGAGGTTCTTTATAAATGGACATAATGTCTCTAAATGAAGGAGAGAAGAGCGGGGTATGAGAAGAGAATGATTACAAACACAGAGACTTCACTAATATGAAGAAACATTGGTCGGATAATGCACCGTTTTTGTCAAAACACAAGAAGGAAGCAGAGGTCACAAAAAATACTCTACCAAGAAAACCATTAGATTATTGAATGCCTGGAGTAGAGACAAACTACACACAAACATAACTGACTCATTGTCACCGAGTGCTTTTGTCTTGTGTCCACTTCTCCATTATTAGTTCTCCAGCGACATCTATCACTTTATGCCCAGGCCAAAGTCACTGCCAAGTGATAATTCCCCAGAGTGGCAACATTGTGTCTTATAAATACAGTCGCCTATGATAGATTAATCTGCGTGCAACATTTGGCTGGAAAATGTTTTAGCATGCCAGGATAGTAGAGAATGACTGGTTATTGGTTTGAGCAATATTTTACAGATATTCAATAATCTTTTCTACTTAAAACGTTCCCTGTTCTACTGATAAATGCCATAATTTGGTGGTTTTCTAAAGAAAGGTACCAACCAAACTTCAAAATTACATTGTGTGTTAAACAAAAAAATAACTAATATATATATTTAGTCATTTAGCAGACACTTTTATCCAAAGGGACTTACAAATGAGGGCAATAGAAGCAATCAAAATCAACAAAAGAGCAATAATATGCAACATAATAAACAAATATAGATGAAATATATTAAATAATAAATATATGCATAAATATTACATTTTATGCAACAGGCATCAATTCTCAAAGAAAGAAATACATACCTAAGATGAAAATAAATCAGAATGAAAAACTATTTGTATTAATGTAATAATAGTTTTAAAACTATATTATTGGCACATAATAGACAGTTGAATAAATTATATATATATATATATATATATATATATATATATATATATATAAA